ACGCGCAGTGTCGTTCCATAGACAAATTCCGCAGGCGATGCGCCGGTGTCAAGGCGGACATGAGTACGCAGACCTAATAATACGGTCGAAAGTACTCGTGACCAACCTTCATTAGCATGATACATAATAGCAGCTTTTAAGCTTCTATGCCACTGTTCAATCATACCGTTCGAAGCGGGATGATACGCCGTAGTACGAATTCGTTGACAGCCGATCAGCTGAAGAAGTGTCGTAAAAAGTTGCGCTTCAAACTGGCTACCTTGATCAGTAGTTATCGTTTTGGGTGCTCCAAAATTTGCTACCCAGTTGTCGTAAAACGCGCGTGCCAACAGGTATTGCTACTGGCCAACGCGAAAATCTATCAATCATCGTCACACAATATCTGTACCCGTCCGACTCAGGCAAGGGATCTATTAGATCCATATGAACGTGCTCGAAATGCCCGTCGGGTGCGACAAATTTTTCAGGATGTAATTGAACGTGTCGGGTTATTTTTGACTGCTGACAGTCAAGACAATTCTTACGCCATTTTATAATATCATGCATGTTAGGTCACACATATCGTTGACGGATTACCCGATCAGTGACTTTAGGGCCCGGATGAGCCGCGTCATGGAACAAATGAAAAACGCGATCTCGTAAAGATGCCGGTATATAGGGACGGATTGCCTCGCCAGTCATTTCGCAGTACAGTGTAGTATGCGTCAGCCCCTATTGAATTCGCTTCATAGAAAACAGAAAATCAGGAGATTCGCGAATAGACCGTAGCTCCTCGTCTTGTTTCTGTGCAAGCTCATTAAGTTCGATCTCGGCAGGTAAACGAATGGCTTCGATACGGGAAAGGGAATCCGCCACAATATTATCTTTGCCCGATAGGTATTCGATACGCGTAGTGAACTGCGAGATGAACGAAAGTTGTGATGCTTTTTCGGAACGTTGCATAAACGCGTAAATAAGAGGCTTGATCGGTCACAATCTTGAAATTTCGCCCTTCGAGGAAATAACGAAAATATTTGATTGCCTCGGCGATCGCCGTAAGCTCCCGATCGTACGCGCTGTAGTCCTGTTGTGCCGAATTTAATTTGCGCGAAAAGAATGCGAGCGGTTTCCACGAGTCATCTAAACATTGTTCGAGGGCGGCCCCGACGGCGAAATCTGACGCGTCACAAACGAGGCGCGTCTCGGTTGCGTCGGAGGGGTGAGAGTATAATCGCGTTGGCCAGACTCTCCTTGCACTCATTGAACGCTTCTTCAGCCACCGGCGTCCATATGATTGGCCGTTTGTCATTTTTGCGTGAATCGCGAAGGTACTCATTCAATGGTGCTGAACGATAGCTGCATTATGTAATAATTTACGATAAAAGTTGACAAGCCCAAGAAAACGACGCAATTCGACTATAGTGTTAGGTCTTGGAAACTCGCGAATAGCCTGAATTTTATTGAGTGTTGGTTTACACCCTTCGCTGTTAATCGTAAAGCCGAG